GAACACGTTGTTGTTATTACTCGCGAAATATATTAATATCGTGAACTATGTTTTATTCGCCCAAAGCTGGACTTCTCCCTACGCCAAATACCCCTCAAATTCATTCTCCGAACCCAGAAGATTATGTCAAATGTTCTTATTAGCCTATACCAGTTCAAGCGGTCAACATTATCGAGAGTTTTAATATTCGTTGTCAACCAACTTGGGATATTAATGTCGCGACTAAATATGTCAAATTCAAAGCCGAATGGGACCTTTGTGGCCAAGTATATACGAGTGTCAACGTTGATGTATTTCCTAAATCAGTCCTTAGCTCCCTAGCTACATATAACCTCGATCAACCGTCTTGGAATACTTCGTTTACGGGCAAGAAACTTTGTTTGAAACTGGAATGGAAAGTGTCTAGTCAGCATTCTCGTATTAATGTTTCAAATTCGTCAATCTACAACCAAAATTCAACTGATTTCGCCATTAATTCCTCAACAAACAGTCCTGCAAGTTTTTCTACACCCTATCGTCGCCATAATCTAAGTTATCAAGCGGACTCTGGTTATAAATCTGCGAACAGGTCCGATAGTCATAAAGAATCGCCAATATATTCACGGCGTGCGTATAATGAAAATATTGCAAACTTTCCAAATAACTCGCCTGGGACTTGCACTAAATTGTTCAAATCGCCTCGAAAATTGGTTAATAGACAAGATCTCTATCGTCCTCAATCGGTGGATACGGCTAATATTAAAGCTAAAGCGAGTATTACCCCGAAATCTGAGAATACAAGTGAAAATATAAGCCCCAAAGCTGATCAAGTTAAAATTAATAATTCACCGCAGTGTAATAATAATCAACACAGTCTCGAGAGTAATCAACAGAGTCACGCGAGCGATGTTAATCCGGATTTGTCAGTTAGTCATGAAAAATCTGACGAAGAGGAGCTGTTTTCTGATTCCGACTATGAGCCGGCTAGTGACTTTGATCCACGTACAAATTCTTTTGGCCTTACTCCTAAAAAACTGTCCTTTTCAAACGGATATTTGTCTCACGCCATCGATGCCGAATTCATGAATTTAAACGGCACATGCAGATTATGCCATGATTCTATTCCCTCCTACCTTGCCCATCTTCATGTAATTGAATGTCGAAGTCTGATCTTGATCCTGTTGATGAATTTTATAAAACGTGTGCTGCGGATCTCCAGACCAACAAGGAAAAAATTCAAAATTATGTCAAAGACCACCTACAGTACAAATTTAACGATGACCAAATTCCCAATGACACTTTCAAGAATTGCGAACAATTTTATAACTTTTGTAGTAACGTTGATGTGTTAGAGAAATCTCAAACCCGCAGATTCTTTGAGAAATGCGGTACACCACCTTCTAGAGTAATAAATATTCTTAGCTATGAACATCTAGCATAAACTACGATATTTATATCGGACACGATCTACCATTTTGATATTTACATGACCATTAATGGCACTAATTGTTATAATGACTAGGACTATTAAGCAAGACCCATCACCTGTAAACTAATTTGAAATAAAGAATGAATAGTGTAGTGTAGTGTAGTGTAGTGTAGTGTAGTGTAGTGTAGTGTAGTGTAGTGTAGTGTAGTGTAGGATAGGGGGTAGGGTATAGGGTAGCCTGCGTGCAGCCTACGCATTTTAGTACTGTGTTAAGCCTTTCGCGCTCGTTTTCGACTTTTCCGCTATGTATTCGTGTGTGATCATGTACAATAATGTGCGTATTTGTATAGCCCCAGCGAGTTAACGCTCCGTAGAGCGTCTTGTTTCCTATAAAAAGGTATCTCATACCTTACATATTTTATATTGTCATTTGTCAATATGTATCTGTCTTTAGCTCAATTGATTTACTTGATGAACGACGTTTATTACTAAATTGCTATGTTTGCAGGTTGATAAGGTACATGCGTTTTTGAATTGAAAAGTATGGATTGACCTTCTTGCCACCCTTAATACGAGTTTGTCTGAGTTGTTGTTGTTGTTGTTGTTGTTGTTGTTGTTGTTGTTGTTGTTGTTGTTGTTGTTGTTGTTGTTGTTGTTGTTGTTGTTGTTGTTGTTGTTGTTGTTGTCGTCGTCGTCGTCGTCGTCGTCGTCGTCGTCGTCGTCGTCGTCGTCGTCGTTGTTGTTGTTGTTGTTGTTGTTGTTTGCTGTCGTTGTCGCTGTCGTTGCAATTGCCGTTGTCGTTGTCGTTGTCGTTGTCGTTGTCGTTGTTGTAATGTCACTCCTGATGAAGACACTAGACTGGAGTGGTCGAAACGTTGGGTCTTGATTACAATTCGACTGGGCATTGTAATAATTTATTTAAAACCGAGTAGCGAGCGAAAACATGATTTTTGAATAGTGTCAGTCTACCATTATAAATGCCCGGCCATCATCGACACAGATAACGAGGCGAATTCCTAGAAAAGAAAGTGAAATCATTATACCATCACGGCGCCCTTGACGGCATTACTGGTAGAAAATCTTGAACAACGTCAAAAATTGTGCATTTACTTATCTTATATACTGCATGCTTTTTATATATTTATTTATTTATTTAGCTACGCCTATAATTACACAATCAAACAACACGTACACCCAACCATTTCTGTCCAACCTCAAAACGCGAAAACGTCAACGCAACGTACATGATATATTGCGAAATTAAACCTAGGATGGTTTAGTTTAAGAATCATGCACATCCATTTAATACGCTTGAATTTTATGAGCCCAAGATTGGAAAATATGGAAAATTGCTTAATTAAAAACTTGGCATAGTCCTATGCAAAACTTATCGAAACGCAGCAAATACGCCGAGCCTCCCACTTTTCAAGGTTGCACAAAAAGGTGACATGCAACAATATAAAGTTGACAACAACAAAAAGGCGGGGACACCACAACAGCTTAAAATCAATTACTGTGGGCCCTTGGATACAGAAAACACAGAACTACTATATAAATTGAAAGTTGAAACTGATGATGGATATTGTGTATACAGTGTATTCAGTACTAATAGCGGCACGTTAATGGTTGCATGAGTTTGCGTGATGTGTTGCATTTCAAGCAGACTGTTCTCCACGTTCTGGCGTCGTCCACATCATACGATGTCTTGACAGCGTTGTGATAATAGTCCAGCAACAATGTTCTAAATCGTACCAGTGATCATGAAAGAATTTTTGCCTTAGACTTTCTGGCAGAGAGTGGTAAGTTCTTATTACTCTGATGAAGAAAGAATGTTGGTATGTCAGCGTCTTACATTTGCGAGGACGGAACGAGAGGACGTTGGTTTCAACCGAGGTTCTAGTGAGCCTTGATGGGATAATTGGCTGTGGAAGGACTTCATTCGAGACAGTTAAAATGTTGTTTACAGCTTTAAAGAAGAACATAATGTCAAGGAACTCGTGCCAGTAGGTGATTGGTAGTAAGTTTAAGGAGATCAATCTGTCTTTGTACGTTTCTCCGCACACGTATGGTTATTTCAGAATGAACTTTGTAGCTCGTCTTTGGATGCGTTCTGTCCTCGTAATTAAGTCGATCGATTGTGGTGACCAGACTTGAGTGGCGTAATCTAACGTTGATCGAACAACTGACAGGTACTGTATACGGCGTATGTTAATATCTGTAATTTCCGTTGCAGCCCTACGCAAGAAACCAAGCATCTTGTTTGCCTTTGCACAGCGATCGTGGGTATGGTAAGACCAGCTTAACGTGTCCGTGATCCATATGCCTAAATCTTTCTTTTTTTCGGTTACCACCAGGGACTTGTTATTGATCTTATACTCATGCTTGATGGGATTCTTTTTCCTTGTTATACGCTGACATTTGCATTTGTCTTGGTTGAAGACAAGGCCTGAAGATGTTGACCAGTTCCCCAAATTACTCAAGTCACTTTGTAAAGATATGGGATCAGTAGTGGAAACAGGCCTTAACATGATTATAATTCAGTTTCGTGGCGTCTCTGTACAGTTTGTTCTACAACTTTATTTGGTTTCATGAAAAGGTGCCTTTTTCGTTTCAATATCTTTTTTCCCTCGTTTTGTAAAGTTGTATTTTTCCAGAAAAAGATAAGGCAGTTAAATGTCGAGTTCATGCTGACAAGTGTGCTTGACCAGAGGCCCCAACCTAGAACAACGTCGGTACTTAATAGAGATTTGGAGACCAGGAGTACGCAGTTGTGCAGCAGACCTGGGCAGCAGCAGAGGAAGAAACATAGCGCAGCAAGAAGACACGTAGAGATCCTTTTTAAAGTTAATTTACTTTCTAGTGCGGACATGGTAGCATGATAGTCTCCTTCACCCTGTCCTAGGGAAGCAGCTACACGATTATCATTTTTTCTTATTCGTCTTGCCATAATAAACATCTTGTAGTTTATGAAGAACAATGCAAAAAACATGATTCCAAGAAAACATGCTGGCGCCACCTGAGCAGGGAAGACGAAATCTCTATAAGATAAAGTAAATTTAACTAAACCTAATACTTCGAGAAGAAAAAGTAGGGCAACTAGTCGCTTTCTTGTGACAGATCGTTGATGAAAGTACGGATAAGTTAACGCTACATATCGTTCGACGTTCATTGTCAGCAAAGTGAGTAAGGATGACCCGTAAAATATGGCAGATATATTCAAGTTGATTGTGTGAAATATTTCATATTCCATGATACACCATGAGATGGTTGACAACATTATCAAAGGATGTGTGATGATAACCACAGCACAGTCAAAACAAGCGAGAACGAGGATCATAAAATAACATAATTTATTTCGTAGCTGACCAGATCTCCAGAAGCATAATATGACTGTTGAGTTCAGAAATATTCCCGTTAACATGAAAATTGTATTTACAATACAGAGTAAAATTGTGTTGAGTAAAATGACTAGTTCCATCCTTGCCTTTTGTTTTTGTCTCAGAAAGAAGACTTCATTATTTTATCATTATAGTTTGTTTTAACAATTATGCATATATTATCAGAACGCGGCATCGCTCGTTTGTGTTGTAACATCTGCGCTATTAGAATAATTAAGTGAAGAAGAAATTATGTTACATATATCTTGGTTTGTGTTGCGAAAAACAAACATATTATTGGGTAATTAAAGTTTTCAATTCGTCAGCCCAAGATCTTCGTCAGTGTGAGCGCTGTTGATGGGCTTACGGATCGAAAGCTTTGCCACAATAAGCTAAATAAGAAATACAGTGATGTTTTCCACAAGTTGTAAGTGATGATTATCTTGTCAGTTAATCGCCAAGCATCCATGCAAATTTGAGGAAAGTTATAGAGTAAGAATAAATTATCTTTTGTATTGTGTTTGTTTACAATGATGCCATTGATTATTTATGATTATTATATAAAATATAGTGGATAAGGATTTCGAGCGCTGATAAAACTGATAATCTCACATGTGAGATAATTTATGATAGTTTCACATGTGAAAATTGTCGCTATGTATAAAAATTATCGCTTTTCAAAGACTGTCCTTTATATAATAACAAAATACATAATGCTTGGAATACCAGATTTATTTCTCGTGTTGAACATGGTATCTCATTCGTTCGCTGCGCTCACTCTTGAGATATCATGGTCTACACTCGAAATGAAATCTGGTATTTTCGCGCAGCCAAGTATCATTCTCTATATATTCTCAGGTGCAATGGTGTGCATCAAGCATTATATAAACAATTTAGATGAACATAAGATCATTAGCCACATACCTGAAATCTTTAAGGTTACAGAACACCTTTGAGAGATAATTTTGCCTAAAATTTTTTTATTGGTTTTCATGAAAGCATTAGACTAGTTCTATTATCTGACAAAGTTTGAACGAAAAATGTTGTAACCTCGCAGAGTTATTCAATAAAGTTCATTTTGCTGCAATTAGAAAAACATTGAAAATGTAATATTCAAATTCAATTTTCTCCCAAAACATTTTACGGCGATTGCTGATTTTCAAACGAATCGTTCCCCTGTGGCTTTCAACGAATGTTTCTTAATTTTTAACAGGACATAGGTAAAGACGTCTGTTGCAAACTTTTTGTTCGGCTATGTTCTAATTTTGGATATTTTAATAATAAGGAGCAATTCACTCAAACGATTCAGAAATATATTGCAGTCGTCAAAGAAATCGCCATATCAGCGGAATGACACAATTTTTTAGAACAACTATTTTACAGTATAAAAACGATATTTTCATAAATATATCTTAAAACCAGCAGGAACACAATTCAAAAGCGTTAAGGTACCGCGATTTAAGATTTTCCTGAATAATTCTTACATTATTTTATTGTTTGTCAATTTTACAACTTTATCATATTCTGCATGCACTGACTAACATTTGGTGAAAATTTGATGAAAATCGGACAGACTTTAAGCGCGCAGTAGCGATTTTCCGCAAAACGCCAAAATGGGTGTCCTGTAGCCTTAATTTATGGTAAACCAGTTTGCACACTATTTTCAGAATGTGTGGATTTTTGCAATTAGAAAAGTTCCAATGTTTCCGACATAACTCTTTTTCAAACGAGCCAACGGCGCAGAGCGCCGTTCCGGGCGTAAGCCCTGTGCGAGAGTAGTAATTCCGCCCGGCTATTTACACCCGGAGAAAGGAAAGCATTAGCAAAGTCTAAAGTTCATCAGTAATCGCGGGCGCATGGCTATGGTTCACCGTGCGTGAGTGAAACCTCGTACCCAGGGCATTTTGCCTCCACGGTTACTGAGAGGTTGGCGTGGGGTTGGCGTTAGATCGTATCGAACAAACGTACTATGACGTCATAATTTCTAAAATACCTAAAGTGCAAGTAATCCTGTTTTAAAATACTTAATTATTACAGAAATTGCGATGACACCGAAGTGAACGAATACGATATTGTTGATATATGTCATACTTTACATATTGTATATTGTCATTTGTCAATATGTATCTGTCTTAGCTCAATTGATTTACTTGATGAACGACGTTTATTACTAAATTGCTATGCTTACAGGTTGATAAGGTACCAACCTCGTTCCCAGGCTCTTTGCTCTTGTGAAGCAAAGACCCTGGTCGGGGCTGGTCACGTGGACCATAGAAAATTGATAACCTAAGAGGGGGATGGAAAAGTATCAAATTACATGTTTCCACTTCCGCACCTCACACTTCGATTGCAAGGAGTGACCGTTCTATACAATCATCTTTGAGAATCATATATACTTCAAAATACTTGCTAAATTGGTTTCTGTTTGCTTTCAAATTATACAAACATGCTAAACTGTAGATTCTTATAGCAACAAACAAGTCAGAAAATCAAGCAACGAAAACGTATGATCGTATATGCTTGGAAATATTTGCCCTTTTATTGTCTCGCGGGGTTAGGGCGCAGTTTCATTTCACGCGTACGTTTCTGTATCTGGCTCTGGTTCAGATACGTATAATATTCTTAGAATGTGCCATTGAATTGTTATCATATGGAAAAGGTATAAATTTTGTTAAATAGAGGTCTCAAAAGCGACTGTGTAGGTCGTAGGCGCTGCGCCTTGCTGGTCCTACAGCAAACGTTACATATTTGGACACTAGCCAAATAGACATTGAATGCCCATTCTATTGATTCTAAAACGGTTTATAGACATAGTGCTCTAGATTTTTTTAGAAAGGTTATTATCGTTTATATTCAACACAAGGTAGGAAGGAGTGTTAACGTACATGTACAAAATTGTTTGGGATCAACAGTAAAGAATTATACGACAATTCACAACTGTATGCATTTCCTTTTTTGTCTGCACGAGAATCTGTTTGTTGAAGCCAAAATCAGATTGCACAGAATCTCCGATATGAATTATATAGCCATTCACCCTCGCCCCTTGAATGCAAAGGAATGATAGCCGAAAAGGTTTAGCAAAGTATTTTTTATTATATCTGGTATAAAGTGTCCCTACGTTTTATCAGGGATATATATCCATAATTCATAAACTGCATATATGCGCACGAAGTCCAGCACATAGAATTACTTAATTAATGAGTTTTAATAAGCCTGTTAAAGTTTCCATGGATAGATAGGTTGTTTGCCTCTAGTATGGTTTGGTGAAACTGCTAAAATGTCATTTATAGAGTATACGATAAAGATTATTTAAAGTTGATTTAAATATTGATGACGCACAGCCAGGGGCGGATCCAGCTCCTGAGCTGACTGATGCATACATAAGAACTCGCATTTGTCGGGGGGTCCGGGGGTATCCTCCCCCGGGAAATTTTGAAATCTAGAACCTCGGAAATGCGATTTCCTGCGTTCTGAGCAAACTCTTTTGTTCCAATTCATACATCAGAGTCACAAAATTATTTGCTGCATTTTTGGAAAGCACGTAAAAAATTGAACCTATATCGCAAAAACAACATAATTTTTCCATATAAGAAAAAATATTTGCTTGTACAAGTGTAATAGCAGCAGCGGTACATAAATCTCTATTAAAAAATAGTCAGTACTTACTACTGTGCTTCTTGTAGCCTTAACTTTTCTATTGAAAAACATTTCGGCAAAAATCACGACAACGCAAATACACACATACGTGTAACAAAGGTGTATACAGTGTGATCCACTAGTTGCAATGTTGGACTCAAAAGACAGTGTTATTAGGTTTCTTAACCACCTTCCCTGAGGCTTATTCATTTCCACTAATTTGCAATGTTCCATGAGTAAAATTTTTTAGCATTAGAATGATGCATAAAGGTATTTTGTGCTATAGTTGGTAAACTTATATACAACTTTGTCTTATGCTGCTAACCTTACTCTGTGTGGACAGTGTTGTTGGCATCAGTATGTCAACTTTATTCACCCCTAGCAATAGATGCCTTTGATGTAAATTGCATATTTGCATGGTGACTAGACCACACTCTAAATTACTGAGAATATTGCCCTGTCACCAGGAAACCAGTAAAACTAACACACAAAAAGCACTGAGTTTTAAAATTCTATAAGTATAACTATAGTACACATGACCCCAAACTTTAAATCAATAGATATATATATATAGTGATACTGTGTGTAAATTGATTTAATGAACTATCTTAGTTGAAAATTGTTTGTCAAATGAACCTACCAAACTGTACAATGATAAACAATATATGATGACATAATTGAATCATCAGATGTCTTCTATCAGCCTGAGTCCCCTTTTGCCTGCCTTTCAACTAATATATTAATATAGTACTCTTTTAAGATGATGTCAATGTAGAAAGGCTGTGCAGTAGTATTGATCAATATTTTCCCTGTGTTACTATATAAATGCACGTCTTCGTCAAATATATCCGTACACTTATCAATGGTAATCCTCAGAGAGCCATGCTGGCTATCCAAAACATAGTATTGGGAGAATTAAGCACTACAAATATATATAATTTAATTAAATCTATACCACTTTTGTGAGCAAATTTCATAATTATAACCTATATACACCAGTTACATGCAGTTATATACAGTATTTATAACGTCCATCATTTTATCATTCTAAGATTAAAGTCAACAGAATGACATATACAGCTTATATCAAATTATATTTGCACCAACAAAGCATATGTACCAAACTATGGTAGGCGAGCACGCCCAGGTAATGATCTTTGTTTGCAAAATATCCAGTGTACAGTAATTGCCCAATAACTCAGGCAATGCAAAGCAATTATACTCTTGTCATGAGGCATGCCAGCTCATTTCCATATAAAATGAAATGTAATGTTTTCTAACCAATATTGCATCACTATTAGAAATCCAGCTCATTAACCCATTAAGCGCCAGCGCTCTCCCCTTGACGAGTAAAATCGTCTGGCGTTAGACAGTGTAAAATACTAAAGTAGGGTGCATCAGGGTGCAATGCGACTCAATGGGTTAATTAACCTGCAATATTATTATGCATTGTAATTACATACTGTACAGAGCCTGATGCAAGTCTTGACCCACACCAAAGTTTTATTCTTAGTACCGGTATCCAATCAAAATGTGCCAGGCGAAATGTCAAATTATTTCACATAATTTAACAACAAGCTAAATATAGTTACAATCACTATTTAATCTATCATTATTTAATTATATATAGCACCAACCAAAATATCAAAAAAATACATTAAATATGGCATGAATACTCATGCTAGAAGTAGCCGGCAATCAGAGTTACAACCATAAAGGCAGTTGTAGGACACAAACACCCAATAACATGTGACTTTATCAGGTCTTCATTTTTCTTTGCCCGCCAGCTGTGAGAAAAATGAAGGTCTGCATGGGCACAGGTTATATAAATCCCATGTAAACAGAGATGAAATTTGCCTCAGTAAAGCAAGCTGTCAAGTTTGGTAATGGGGCTGGTTTGCCTCCAGACAAACAAATCTCTGTAAATACTGTAAAATGTCTAAAATGTCAAACTACCTCATCCCCCCACCCCCCTCACAACCCCCCTCCTGGTATGAACAGCAGTATCAAATAGACACAAACTTTAATTATTATGTTATAAATACATACAAATCTACATTAACTGTGGAGCCAATTTTCCACTTTATGCACTTCTTGAACTGAACAATTAACAATGTACTACAATGTAAAATATACATAAATTCCACTTACTTTAGAGCCCTAGTGGCCGTAGTGGGCATCTCACATTCTCACAGTATAAATATACTTCAATTCTTGTGCTCACTGCTCAGTTGAAAGATCAAATTCATTCCAAACCTTGGTAATTAATTCGACTGTAACTTAATTGCTCTCCATCATATTCGAGGGATATTTCTTCGCATTATTTGTTCATTTGCATATAGTGTTTGCATATCCTTGCCGCCATGACTTGAATCGAATGCCTCGTTACGTCACAGTAGATTTTGATTTTGAAATTTGCATCAGTGAACTGATGCGAGCGCCCGCAATCTGCATGCGATGCATCGCTCAGCGGACTAATCTACCGTGACGTAGGGCTCTAAAACAATAGATTTGATGATGTCACAGTAGATTTTACGCGGAAAAGGACTCGGGACCGATGCATTCACTGATGCAAAATGGCTGAAAATCGATGCAAACAAAATCTACCGTGACGTAGGTGATGCATCAGCTTTCTACTGTGACGTCAAAGGATGCGGTTAAAAATAATATATTTTGTCGCGAAATTATTCACGCTTAAGTGTCGCAAAATAAAAAGTAAATAACAGAAAATACTTTTGCGATCGCACGTCGCATATTGGACTTATTTTGACAATTTCGACTGTTATTGAGACAATTTAAATTGGATTTCATCCTAAATTGTGTATTCCCGACATGGACAGTCACATGGAGTCAAGTTTAAGCAAATATTTGCGGTTTGATAGCTGGAGAGATTCAAAGATATTCTATTACTGAGTGCTTGACTAAGTATTGACGACATATTATTTCAAGCAACATGATTTCTCAATTTTGACCGATGCATTCGCATCGTTGGCATCGGTCTGGATCCGCCCCTGCGCACAGCAGCATTATACAAGTCGAAAGAAGCTGTCGGGTTATTCAAATATAAAGCACTGAATGGGCAATGGGAATGAAACGTCTTTATAAGGTTTATAATGTACCTGCTGTAAATTACTGTAATACACAAAATATGAAATAATTTACTATGAAGTACAATACCAGTGTCTGGTGCAATCTGGTGCATATATCGTCCTAAATATTCAAGTTATATGTACCGCACGCACGGAAACGCACAGTGGTCTTGGTGTTCGTCTGATGACAGATAGCTATACTTCGAGTCTTCGACATAATCATTCTTGATCGTTGAGTTTCAGCAATGTAAATGAAAGGAATTTTACAGTCCATATAAACGGTTTTAATCGTGTGCTTTCACAGCAAGATAGCACTATTGTTTACACACACAGTTAGCGATGTTTGGGAAATCTTCCATTATAAAATAAATCCTTTGGCTTTGTTGAATATCGGAAAGTATACACTTCAACAATAAACAACCATATCGTTCATTTAGTATCGTTTGATCGTCAGTCGGTATAGAATTGGGAAGACTTATATGTTTCTACGGCGATGCGTGCTCAACGTCGCAAGCCAGGCGCGTGTGGAGTCCTTGGAAGTGAAATATGATCCAGCTTGTCGCTTGAAATATACCGGCAACACTTATTATTGATGACATTCAGTATAGCAGGAAGTTGTGTCATTATGAATACGAATTTAAAACTATTCCTTTCACGATTTCTTGTTGCAAATTACATTTTTATCACCCGAAACTATAACACATAAAATTGCAATTTTCCAAACGTAGCAAACAGACTCCTCTACCACCCCTTCCTGAGATCAATTCAATTTACCACGCAGAATCTGCGGGGTCACGTGACCAGCCCCGACCAGGGTCTTTGCTTCACAAGAGCAAAGAGCCTGGGAACGAGGTTGGATAAGGTACATGCATTTTTGAATTGAAAAGTATGGATTGACCTTCTTGCCACCCTTAATACGGGTTTTCAATCTCCGCGAAGAGCCAGGCAAATGTTTTTGAAAATCTGTAAGAGTTGCTTGTTGTTGTTGTTGTTGCCGTTGTCGTTGTCGTCGTCGTCGTCGTCGTCGTCGTCGTCGTCGTCGTTGTTGTTGTCGTTGTCGTCGTCGTCGTCGTCGTTGTCGTCGTCTTTTTCGTTGTCGTCGTCGTCGTCGTTGTCGTTGTTGTTCGACTGGGCTTTGTAATCATTTATTTAAACACGAGTAGCGAGCGAAAACATGATTTTTGAATAGTGTCAGTCTACCATTATAAATGCCCGGCCATCATCGTCATAGATAAGGAGGCAAGTTCCTAGAAAAGAAAGTGAAATCATTATACCATCACGGCGCCCTTGACGGCATTACTGGTAGAAAATCTTGAAAAACGTCAAAAATTGTGTATTTACTTTTCATATATATTGCATGCTTTTTATTTATTTATTTATTTAATTTATTTAGCTTCGCCTATAATTACACAATCAAACCACACGTAGTTCCAACAATTTCTGTCGAACCTCGAAACGCGAAAACCTCAACGCAACGTACATGATTGCGAAATTACACCTAGGATGGTTTAGTTTTAGAATCATACACATTCATTTAATGTGCTTGAATTTTATGAGCCCAACATCGGAAAATATGGAAAATTGCTTAAAACATGGCATAGTCCTATACAAAACTTATCGAAACGCAGCAAATACGCCGAGCCTCCCACTATTCAAGGTTGCACAAAAAGGTGACATGCAACAACATAAAGTTGAGAACAACAAAAAGGCGGGGACACCACAACAGCTTAAAACCGATTACTGTGGGCCCTTTGATACAGAAAACACATAACTAATATATAAATTGAAAGTCGAAACTGATAATGGATAGAGTGTATACAGTGTATTCAGTACTAATAGCAGCACGTTAATGGTTGCATGAGTTTGCGTGATGTGTTGCATTTCAAGCAGACTGTTCTCCACGTTCTGGCGTCGTCCACGTCATACGATGTCTTGACAGCGTTGTGATAATAGTCCAGCAACAATGTTCTAAATCGCACCAGTGATCATGAAAGAATTTTTGCCTTAGACTTTCTGGCAGAGAGTGGTAAGTTCTTATTACTCTGATGAGGAAAGAGCGTTGGTGTGTCAGCGTCTTACATTTGCGACGACGGAACAAGAGCACGTTGGTGTCAACCGAGTTTCTAGTGAGCCTTGATGGGATAATTGGCTGTCGAAGGACTTCATTCGAAACAGTTATAATGTTGTTTACAGCTTTAAAGAAAAACATAATGTCAAGGTACTCGTGCCAGTAGGTGATTGGTAGTAAGTCTAAGGAGATTAGTCACTTTGTACGTTTCTCCGCACACGTATGGTAATTTCAGAATGAACTTTGCAGCTCGTCTTTGGATGCATTCTGTCCTCGTAATTAAGTCGATCGATTGTGGTGACCAGACTTGAGTGGCGTAACCTAACGTTGAGCGAACAATTGAGAGGTGCAGTGTACCTGATACGCCATCTTAATATCTGTAATTTCCGTTGCAGTCCTACGCAGGAATCCAAGCGATCGTGGGTATGGTAAGACCTGCTTAACGTGTCCGTGATCCATATGTCTAAATCTTTCTCTTTTTCGGTTACCACCAGGGACTTGTTACTGATCTTAGTTATACTCGTGTTTGATGGGATTATTTTTCCTTGTTTTACGCTGACATTTGCATATTGTAGAACTAAGGAAGTTAGCATCTACGCAGAGGAGGAGTGAGGACTATACCGACATGAAACGAGGTCAAGCGCGTTTTTTTTTACATATTATCGATTTCTCGCTCTGCGCAGTCATTGTTCGGTCGGCTTTTGCTGAGTTTACGCCTCGAGGTTTCAAGAGATTCAGAAAAGATTTATAGAACAAAAAAGGAAAATGGTGAATTTTTGCACTAGCATGGAAAGAAAACTTCGTTTCTGGGTGGACACGAGCTTCTGTGTGTTCCGAGGTGTGTTCACTGTGTGTCAAAACAGCCTTTAATATTCATTCCGGAAGGATTACCGTGTGATGATTGATGAAATTGTTCGCAGATTGCTGTAGTCTTGCACTGGTACAAATTCACTGATTGTTTTCCTTTAATTTCCAAATATGTTTCGAAAGTTCCGTTTTGTTTGAGTCTTTTTTATGACGAAAAGATGAAGTGTTGTTAGCGTAACGTTCCTTAAATGTAGTCGCTGTCATACCAATGTAGTGTTTTGTGTCGTTCGTGTTGTTCGTTGTGACTGTTGCTTTGTAAATAATGTTGTTGGTCATGCATTGTTTCGGTAGTGGGCAAGTGTTTTTGTTGTCGCAGTTACAGTTGTCAGTTTCCGTATTCTGTGATTGACTGTTCCTAATTATATGTGCGTTGTGTTTGGTGATTATAGACTTAACGTTCTTCATGCAACTGTAGCTTACTTTTAAAGTGTTTCTGTTAAAAATCTTGTGTAGTTTGTGCTGTAATGGGAAGTGTTTGTCAATTAAACTTAAGAATTCCCATCCTATGTTCGTGTTAACACTCTTACTAAATGGTGGGTTGAACCAAATTATGTTGCGTTGCCTATTCCTACGTGTCAGTTGCGGTGCATTCTGAGTGTACGTAAATTCATGATCAAAGTTACTATGTGTAAGAGCGTTTTGGTAAATAGGTGTGGATTCCTTAAATGTTTGTTCGTCCGATGAGAGAAGTGCAATGCGTTTGTTGATAGCTGTAGGTAATTGTCTTGTAATGCTTGGTGGATGGTTTGAGTGTCTGTGGATGTACAATGGATCGTCATTGGGTTTCCTGTATGGTTTGTGTTTTGCGTTGATCAAGTCGAAAGTGACATCTAAAAAATTTACAACGTTCATATTTACTTCGGCGGTGATTTTAAGATCAAATTGCTCGAAAATTTTGTGTAGCTCTTTTCTAGTTTTGTCTAGTAAACGGGCGGATTTGCTTTTTATAATAGCCAAACCATCATCTCTATAAAGTCCGATGTTTTCCTTGCCAAACCTCTTACCTAAGTGATTTAAAATGAAAAGGCCTACCAGCTCACAAATTTCAGCGCCGTCGAAACTACCCATAGTGACGTCAAATAAACTGTTGCTTCCGTCTTTTTTTGTCCATAATTTGCCGTTGCCGAAAAGTAGAGATTTTCTTGCATGTTTTATTATTGAAATATCGTTTTCGGTAATAGTAGTCAAATCCGAAGCCCAGGCCAACGCTTCATTTAAAAGTTTTTCGGAAATAGATGGGTAAAAATCCACAATATCAAATGAAATAAAACTATGCCTGTCTTTATCGTTTATATTGCCAAACCATGAAATTACTTGTTGCGTATTTCTCCATTGATTTGAATTTAGTTTTTGTCTCAAATTGGAATTGATTTTATCTAAAATAACCTTACTTAGTTTTCCGGATTCGCTTTTTGCGGGATTATATTAATTAGTCGGCATTTTGGATTGTTTTCGAAATTTTCTTTGTGATCTTTTAAAGATATAAATGCTTCGCGTTTTTTCATTCGTTCAATTCTGTCGCCAATTCCTAACCTACTCGAAATTTCTTTCAATTCGGAGTCAATTTCATGTATGAAGTCCTCTGATCCATGTTTGTACGTTTTCGTGATGTTATCATGTAAGAGTTCGTTGTATGTGTTCAGTGACGTTTCGTAAATGTTTCTAGTTTTGTCCGCGAAAATGAAAATGTTGGGGAATGAATTAATTTTCTTCAAATCGTTAGCCAAAGATGTCTGAAATTGGTCTTTAGGACGCCGGAATTTTACGTTTTCAATTAGTTTTATCAAGTCGTCTTCGAAAGGTTTCAAAAGTGGAATTGAAGGAGGCGATTTGTTAGACGAAAGGCCGAAAAGGTTGCTTTGGTTTTGAGTCGCTGATCCTTTTAGGAAGAAATTAGCTTTCCATCTCATACGTTTTGTTACGCTTTCCACTTTTTAAATCAAATTCTTTAGGTAAGCATCCTGTGATGGTATAGGAATATTCTTTAGTGAATAATCGAATCGAAATTGTCGCATGTTTGAAGTAGAAATGAAATGAATAACGTATAGACAAAGTGCACAACCGATTACCGGGTGCAAATATAGCTTAAAATTTTGTTTTACGAAACACAAACAGTGCTCAATACCATATAGATAGAGCGTAATATAGTTTTTCGTTTTACCTCAAAGAACCACAACAGTCTGTTTCATCCGTATAGGAATCATCAGGTGGTGAATAATTTCGAAATTGTAGGTGGCTTTTATGCTATCGAAAGAATGTGCGGAATGCGTGTAGGCGAAACAATGCTTAGGTGAAACAATGCATGCTTGGGTCATTAGGTTTTGTTAACGACCTTGTTTACTCGAAACCGGTTTTTGTGACGACATTTGCCGAAAATTTCGCTTCTTTTATTGAGTAAATTGTCTTTGCTTATGTCTTTCAAAATGCAAAATTTTTCTTCCAAACATAAATTGCAGCGTTTTGATCCCCCTGTGTACGAAATAGCGTGTTTTAAAATTGACCATTTGATGGTATAATCCTGATTGTTTTCTTTTAATTTCCAAATATGTTTCGAAAGTTCCGTTTTATTTGAGTCTTTTTTATGACGAAAAGATGAAGTGTGGTTAGCGTAACGTTCCTTAAATGTAGTCGCTGTCATACCAATGTAGTGTTTAGTGGCGTTCGTGTTGTTCGTTGTGACTGTTGCTTTGTAAATAATGTTGTTGGTCATGCATTGTTTCGGTAGTGGGCAAGTGTTTTTGTTGTCGCAGTTACAGTTGTCAGTTTCCGTATTCTGTGATTGACTGTTCCTAATTATATGTGCGTGTCTACGTTATTCATTTTATTTCTACTTCAAACATGCGACAATTTCGATTCGATTATTCACTAAAGAATATTCCTATACCATCACAGGATGCTTACCTAAAGAATTTGATTGAAAAAGTGGAAAGCGTAACAAAACGTATGAGATGGAAAGCTAATTTCTTCCTAAAAGGATCAACGACTCAAAACCAAAGCAACCTTTTCGGCCTTTCGTCTAACAAATCACCTCCCTCAATTCCACTTTTGAAACCTTTCGAAGACGACTTGATAAAACTAATTGAAAACGTAAAATTCCGGCGTCCTAAAGACCAATTTCAGACATCTTTGGCTAACGATTTGAAGAAAATTAATTCATCCCCCAACATTTTCATTTTCGTGGACAAAACTAGAAACATTTACGAAACGTCACTGAACACATACAACGAACTCTTACATGATAACATCACGAAAACGTACAAACATGGATCAGAGGACTTCATACATGAAATTGACTCCGAATTGAAAGAAATTGCGAGTAAGTTAGGAATTGGCGACAGAATTGAACGAATGAAAAAACGCGAAGCATTTATATCTTTAAAAGATCACAAAGAAAATTTCGAAAACAATCCAAAATGCCGACTAATTAATCCCGCAAAAAGCGAATCCGGAAAACTAAGAAAGGTTATTTTAGATAAAATTAATTCCAATTTGAGACAAAAACTAAATTCAAATCAATGGAGAAATACGCAACAAGTAATTTCATGGTTTGGCAATATAAACGATAAAGACAGGCACAGTTTTATTTCATTTGATATTGTGGATTTTTGCCCATCTATTTCCGAAAAACTTTTAAATGAAGCATTGGCCTGGGCTTCGGATTTGACTACTATTACCGAAAACGATATTTCAATAATAAAATATGCAAGAAAATCTCTACTTTTCGGCAACGGCAAATTATGGACAAAAAAAGACGGAAGCAACAGTTTATTTGACGTCACTATGGGTAGTTTCGACGGCGCTGAAATTTGTGAGCTGGTAGGTCTTTTCATTTTAAATCACTTAGGTAAGAGGTTTGGCAAGGAAAACATCGGACTTTATAGAGATGATGGTTTGGCTATTATAAAAAGCAAATCCGCCCGTTTACTAGACAAAACTAGAAAAGAGCTACACAAAATTTTCGAGCAATTTGACCTTAAAATCACCGCCGAAGTAAATATGAACGTGGTAAATTTTTTAGATGTTACTTTCGACCTGATCAACGCAAAACACAAACCATACAGGAAACCCAATGACGATCCATTGTACATCCACAGACACTCAACCCATCCACCAAGCATTACAAGACAATTACCTACAGCTATCAACAAACGCATTGCACTTCTCTCATCGGACGAACAAACATTTAAGGAATCCACACCTATTTACCAGAACGCTCTTACACATAGTAACTTTGATCATGAATTTACGTACACTGAGAATGCACCGCAACGGACACGTAGGAATAAGCAACGCAACATAATTTGGTTCAACCCACCATTTAGTAAGAGTGTTAACACGAACATAGGACGGGAATTCTTAAGTTTAATTGACAAACACTTCCCGCTACAGCACAAACTACACAAGATTTTTAACAGAAACACTTTAAAAGTAAGCTGCAGTTGCATGAACAACGTTAAGTCTATAATCACCAAACACAACGCACATATAATTAGGAACAGTCAATCACAGAATACGGAAACTGACAACTGTAACTGCGACAACAAAAACACTTGCCCACTACCGAAACAATGCATGACCAACAACATTATTTACAAAGCAACAGTCACAACGAACAACATGAACGACACTAAACACTACATTGGTATGACAGCGACTACATTTAAGGAACGTTACGCTAATCACACTTCATCTTTTCGTCATAAAAAAGACTCAAACAAAACGGAACTTTCGAAACATATTTGGAAATTAAAAGAAAACAATCAGGATTATACCATCAAATGGTCAATTTTAAAACACGCTATTTCGTACACAGGGGGATCAAAACGCTGCAATTTATGTTTGGAAGAAAAATTTTGCATTTTGAAAGACATAAAACAAAGACAATTTACTCAATAAAAGAAGCGAAATTTTCGGCAAATGTCGTCACAAAAACCGGTTTCGAGTAAACAAGGTCGTTAACAAAACCTAATGACCCAAGCATTCATTGTTTCACCTAAGCATTGTTTCGCCTACACGCATTCCGCACATTCTTTCGATAGCATAAAAGCAACCTACAATTTCGAAATTATTCACCACCTGATGATTCCTATACGGATGAAACAGACTGTTGTGGTTTTTGAGGTAAAACGAAAAACTATATTACGCTCTATCTATATGGTATTGAGCACTGTTTGTGTTTCGTAAACCAAAATCTTAAACTATATATATATATATATATATATATATATATATAATTTTAAGGAGTTGAATCAAGTCCAAAAGAGTTATTCTGTCACGAAAAACGGTGACAGAATGACACTTTTAGAGTTGATTCAACTCCTTAAAATTTACAGTGTATATATATATATATATATATATATATATATATATATATATATATATATATATATATATATATATATATATATATATATATATATATATATATATATATATATATATATATATATATATATAGATATATATATATATATATATATATAGATAACTTGCTTGGTTGTTGAAGCCAAAACGAGTACAGTGCTCGATGCGGGAAATTCGCAGAGCTTAATATGGTGTTCAAAATGAAAAAAATTAAAAATAAAAAATTTTAAAAAATTTAATGTGCTGCTACTTAAGTTTCACGTATACCGGCTGTCTGACGATCGGTATACGTGAAACTTAAGTAGCAGCACATTAAATTTTTTAAAATTTTTTATTTTTAATTTTTTTCATTTTGAACAACATATTAAGCTCTGCGAATTTCCCGCATCGAGCACTGTACTCGTTTTGGCTTCAACAACCAAGCAATATAATATATATATATATATATATATATATATATATATATATATATATATATATATATATATATATATATATATATATATATATATATATATATATATATATATATATATATATATATATATATATATATATATTTAATAATTATCTAGAGCAGCGTCGTCGTCCCATACCCCCACCAAGAAATCGAAGAGACGTCCCACCCGACAACGTCCCACCTGATACTCCGCCTGACGATGAACTGTATGCGGAGGTAAGTGACTATAATCCTGGTGGTGCCGCAGGATATTCCTCCCAAGTTGATGATTGTGACATATCGTTCCAACCGGATGACCACAACAAGAACCTCGCGCAGTTACATTCTCAATCAGCATTCGAAACTGAGCAATCCCATGACTCCCACCTTTCTCATTCTCAACCGGCATTTCAAAATGATGAATATTCTGAATGTTATGACAGTCCCTATGAATTGGATCATGAGTGCGCAAGCAAGTCTGGAGATGAAGAATATTTCTCCGCTACCAATAATGTTGGAATAAGAGCTGAAAAAAATGAGGGAGAAAGTTTATCACAAAACGACACCTATGAGAATTTGGACCAAGCCAGGAGAGAAGTGCGAAATACTTACGACTACTTGTACAGAAACGAATACCAAAGAACAATTTCAAATGGTACTGTGTATAATGTGAAACATTTCGTATCCATAGAAATGTATAGCAATATGAATGCCTCGGGATCGGTTCTTGGTCCTCACTCCTTTACCTGTCTTTGTTTTTTTCTTCAGCTATCGACTTAAACGGGAATAAAACCTTGACATAAGGAAAGTGAGGAAATTCAATCAAATTTTGTTTGGAAATTTTCTGCCGAAGAACTATTTGTACCATTACAAAACGCCGTCTCTCCCATGTAGCGACCAGTGCAACAGATATCCAGGCGTTCATTCTCGAAACAAAATATACATTATTTATTTTTATTTCATTATTTATTTATTCTTTCCACAATAATGTATACATGCAAAGTTAACTAACTTATACAGTTAGCATGTTGTTTTCGCAAAGAAAGAGAGTTTCATCCACTTTGGAGAATTATTTTCTTGAAGCATAAATTTACAGGTTTTCGTCCTTACAAGTTTTCGAAAAGCGATATCTCTAAAATATCATTTAAATAGCGAATTGATTTGGCAGCTCCAATTTAACAAAAGTACGTTACAAGCTTTTCGTTCACCTATAAAGAGAGTGTTTTGGTATTGAAAACTGTTTTTTTTTCTTAGAAATTAGGAAGAGAATAACGCACTTTAAAAACAGACCAGAAGTATTCATAAACAAGTTTGAAACTACCCACGACGAAATACGCACAGATGAAGAAACCTTCCTTATCGTTCATCTTTTAAAGAAAAGTGATTCAAATTCACCAATACTGGATGGCAATCTTGACCAACTGGCAATGCTTGCCTGCTGCAGCAGTCCTCATGTAGTAAAGAGAGCGCTTGATGCTCTTCTAAATGAAATGTTTCTGAGCATTTCCGATTCCACAAGAATTCGATGTGGTAACATACTGCAAGCTGAAAAAATTCTTCGCGCGTCGTTTCAACAATATATGAAAGTAGACCATTTTAAGGCTAAATCTCATCGGATGACGACATACGCTTGGCTCATCACGTTAGTCCTTCTCAAGTGTAGCAAACAAGATTTCATCGAAATACAACCAGAAATGAGAGAATTTGACAGAATCCTGGATGCTTTGCAAAACGACAGGAACACTGCGGACGAAATACTTTTCGATACGGTACTTATGTTGCCCGGGAAAGTATTAAACGAATTGTTCAGTCGTGTGGAAAAAAAGACTCAAGAGAATCGCTATGCCAGCGCATCAAAAGGTGTGAAAACTTTTTGAATAGCAGACTGGAGAAGGACGAAGTTATGAAGCTTGGCAGAGCGGTCAGCGATGGAGGCAGCTGGCTGGATCTTCATGTATGCTTGGTGTTTTTGCAAGATTTACCAAAGGTAGGTTTAAGAAAGGTTTTGAAGACTTTCGGTAAGCTACATCGAATAGTATTTATGCACAATGTTTAACGTTCAACTTTCTGAACATGATTAAGATTACTTTAATCCTCTATAATTATGGGGAGGGCCTTTTTGACCGCTGAGTTTGCTAAACATGCCTTTCTTTCGCCCTATGTAAAGGAATTCAAGATGGAAGGCATGGACGTACGAGAAGGAAAAAATTAGGGGGGCGGAAAAAAATTTGCCAGATTTTTCGGATTGTGCCTGACTTGTCGAAAAAAATTTTACGGACAAACTTTCCAAAATTGTTGACGACTGGGGCGGGAGAAAAGTTATTACGAAAAATTCCTATTAGATAGCATATTTCCCACAAAATGGACAGAATTTCCCACAAAAATGACAGAATTTGTCCCGTTTATTTTTATAATAAGCCAATATTGCCCGACTGTGAAGCGAATATTGCCCGACTGGCTTTGTTTGCCCAACAAACTGGGGGGAGCTGCCGCCCCCTCCGCCCCGCCCCCCTATGCCCGGTACGCCCATGATGGAAGGCGACTTGACTTCTCCATTCCGAATTCCATTGCGATAAAGTCAATGGATTCCAATTTATTTAGATTTAGTTCGAGTGTAGAGTCCGTAAACAAATTAGATTCTGGATCCTACTGTCCAGGTTCCGGATTGCAAAGGGTGAATTTTGCGGGATTCCAGGTTCCAGATTCACTTTATTACATATCTGAAATATGCGTCAGTTTTATTGGTATCCTTCTTCATTGTTTTAACAGTTTCATCAGTTCCAAGGCAATCCAAAACCAATTATATTGATACAGATGTTGATTGCAGATTTCCGTGAGCGGTGTAGCGCCAACAAAGTTAAGAGCCTTTTAAAAATTTCAAATTATGAATGGCAATTTGAGATTTTAGTTTATCATCTGTTGCTTAGGCTCATTAGGACTTCAAAAAACAAAGGTAGGTGGGTCGTTTTCAAATTTACTAGAAATAGTCTCTCTTTATTCTTATTAGCCCGCGTGCAGGCCCAAGGGACGAATAGTGTGCCTGCAAGGCCCGGTGTTTTGTATACTTTCAGCGTTCGCCCACGAACGCGGCATTCTGATTGGTTATTTGCTGTTGGATTCTATAATTAGATCAGTGATTTATCACAAAAGTTCTCGATAAGCTTAAAATTCGAAAATTTATCATTTTTTTCGATTAAAAATGAAACAGGAACAGACGTTTATTGTTTACTTGAAGGAAGAGATGTTTTGCCGTTATGCTAATGAGGATTTCTTGTTGTGAAGTGTTGGAATAGCAACATTACGACTGGCGTGAACTCACTAAACTATAGTAACCTTTACTTGAGTTTCATTAATTTCAAATAGACTTGATATGTTATATGTCCATCCAGAAAATTATCTTTTGGTTCATGTTGACTATGTTCTAGATCTTGCACTGATGAAAACAGCGCTTTTCACGGTGAAGATTTAGAGGCAGTTGCATCTAAGCCTATTCAAAACACTTTGCAATTTGCAAGGCTTCGCTGAGAGATCGAAACAAAAGACGGTAATTGCCGTTTGAAACGAAACGATCTGGACTCTGAACGCTCTCTTCTTTTTTAGAGTTCTTTACCAAATGAAATAACTGAAATAAATTTCGTAATTTCCGCCGCCAACAAGAATTGCACACACGATCTGATAAGCGAGACAGTTTATTATAACAATGGCGACAGCGAAGCACACATTAGTGCTGTGGTCGCACGACTTCCCTCACGATTTGTAGCTTGAGACAGGTTTTCTGTTGAAATTGTCCTAATTTGCCTGTTCCGATTTTAGTTGAAAATGAGCACTGAATTTGTCAATCACTGACTGCGTTACTTGCTTTTTTTTGGAGTTAAAACGCAGCCACTTACACATTGTTTCTGTTCTGAATAAGCAGAGAAAACCCCGGAACGTTATAATGCGAGTTTGTTTGTTAATGTTTGGGTTGCTGTAATTGGTTCTTTTTGACAGTTGACGCGCGAATGGGACGTGTTATGAAAAGGGGCGTTTTACAAAATACCGGGTCTTGCATGCAAATACCGGGTCTTGGGCCTACAAGCGGATTATGTTCTTATTGTTAATTGTTGTTGCCGCTGTCGTTGTCTTTCTCCTTGCCATTGCCATTGCCAGTGTTAGTGTCGTTGCTGTTGTCATTGTCATTTTCAGAACAATGCGGTTAGGTCTAAAATATGAACATAGTCAACCCTCAAGTCCTTATGCCACAGATGTAGTTATGCTATCAAAAAACCAAACACACATCGCGCTATCAAAAATCTGTTTTTTCTTTATTTTTCCTTATTTTTCAGCAATTATTGAGCAGGTTTTTACAGGGGAACAAGGTTGTGGCGGTGTTCTTCGAACATGGATTCAAAATAAGTCTACGACAACCAAGGATGATCAGCTTATCTTGATGAATCTCGACAAATTATGCAAGAGAGCTGTATTTGTTGCAACACCGAGCAGTTTTAAGCAGTTCATTACAGACAACTGCAAAGGTGATGAAAAACGGTTTATCGAGAATTTATCCATTCATCAGCTATCAGCAGCATATAGAGATAAAGTCTTGGAGATCTTTCCAGAAACACGAGCTCGTATGGGCCAAACACGGGTCAGTATTTATGATGCACTAATGAGTGGGAAAAAATGCTTGCTGAAACTACACCAACATTCCAAAGAAGAACTGCTAAACACAGACGCTTTAAGGACAGTTCCTCTACGAAAAGAAATCGAAATTCTCCAAGTTTTGAATGCTGTGCCATGTCCAAACCTTGTACGACTTTTCGGCTCACGCACTGAAGCCCCTATGCATATGATCGTAGAGAGAACGCCAAAAGGCGATCTCCGGGCCTACCTTCAAGGCATTGCAATCCTTCCCACCCCGCCTGAAGCCGAAGAATTACTCCAGATTGCTCTCGATGTTTGTAACGCCATGATTTTTCTTGGTGGAAAGGATATAATCCATCGTGATTTGTGCGCCAAGAATTGTTTTGTTTTCATAGAAGAAGGAAAACTGCTCACCAAACTTGGCGACTTTCACCTTGCACGTCTTTCTCATTCTGGCCCGAAGTCGCCAAATAATACTTTAAGTCGTCAACAGAGCTCTTCAACATCTGTCACTAAAGATTTAGCGAATCAATTTGCTGTGCGTTGGATGGCTGTTGAAGCAATTCAGTTTGGTGAATTTGGCGACGCATCTGATGTGTGGTCGTTTGGTATATTGTTGTCTGAGATCTTCACCTTTGGTGGCAAGCCATATATCAACATGCCAAGTGGGCTGTCTTTGGATCGTGACGAAGACGTTGAAGAATTTGTAAGTATAGCACTTTTGTTTAGAAATAACAAAATTGTCGAAATAATTGAGTATGCCAAGGGAAATCATTTTATGAAATAGAATTTGGAGGTTACCAATGTCGTTCACGAGATAAATTACTTTAAAACCAAAATATCCGCCATATTAAAGCGACAATGTTGCCATACCAACGGCAGTTGTGTAACTTTATGAAAAATTTCTTTAGATTATTAGATGTTGTTTTGAATAAGTTAGATGTTTTTTATTTTTTTTGCAAGTAATACTTGTTCAAAAATACGCCTCTAAATCTCAAAATTTCCACCTCAAACAAATAGTGTTGAGGTCAACACCTCCTTGTCGGCCATCCCCCTATTTGATATTTATGATTCAATTGTTTGTTATGTAAATATCTCAGTGAGTATCTATCCCCTTTAGAACGAAAAACGCCGTTGAAATCTTTACCGAATAACCTTTTGAACGGGGGTCCAATGCCGTCAAAACATTACACAAACCAAAACAATCATGCATTTACTCGCCCTTGGACAAACATTCGGAATTTCCTGTTAAGAAAAAAACTTCAATATCTTCTAAACTCTTCGTTATTCGCCCAAATCCATATTAGTAAAATACTTCTTACATTGAAGTGCTTTCATGTAGAAAGTAGTTTGCTTGAATACAACGAGTAGAAATATCTATTTTGAATTTTTCAAGACTGAACATCTAAATACGGCAATACAAGATGTAAATTTGGAGACACAAGCCTGAAAATAACACTGTAAATACTGTTTTGTAAAATGCGTCAAACAAAGCTATTACCAAGAAGATACGTCGCAAGGGGCCGAAGTTATGTTTGGCGAAATGTATACTTAGTTCATATTTTCATTTTTTTTATTCATTTTGTCACTCACATGAGCGATGTACATTTAGATAGAGATATATCAATAACAATAATTAGAAAATGCTGTGACAGGAAAAGAAAACAGAAACTAAATTCCAATTGATATTCAAACCGTTAACAATTAATGGATAACGAGAGGTACTAAGGCAATTGTGCACGAATATATCACAGATTACATGCAACTTAACATATGGGATAACAAATGCAGAACAAATTTTAGAGTACAATTATCTAAGTTGGTATGTTGGTAGACAGTTTGGCTTTGTAATAAGAGTGTAGATGGTGCTTCAAGCTCTTCAGGAAATTAGCGACTTTGATGTTTGGTGGTATATTGTTCGAGAGGATGACAGTACACGAGAAATAGGTTTGTCGTAAACATTCTTGATTATTGCAGATGATTTTGTTTCGACCATTCGTTAGGGTCGAAGTTGTGTGTCGCATAGGAGTTAGTTTCCGGTGTAAGGTATTGGTTAAATGTTCGTGGAATTAATAAGGTTGTTTTTTATCTTATATAATACTGATCAGTCATAAAGTTCATGTCCGCGTTCAAGTGAGAGAATGTTTAAGGATATTATTTGTTTGTCTCTGTCGGTAACATCCCGAAGAGGGCAAGAATGAATTTCAATGCTCTGCGTTTTCTATTAATTTGCGTGCTTTGGCTGAGTGAGGTGACCACACACACGACGCGTACTCAAGCTTATGTCGTACAACAGCACAATAGAAAAGCTCCTGCGTATTGGCATCCACAACGTCTCTAGAACACACTCGCTTAGTTAGACCAAGGATTTAATTGGACCTGTTGCACTTGCTTTCAATATGGTTAGCCCAGGGTAGGTTTTTAGATGCGATGACACCTAGGTCAGAGCACAGTTAGTGGTCAAAGGTGTGTGTCACACTTTTCAAGAGAAGCAGAGGAGCATATGATGTTGAACACGATCAAATGCCTTGGACAGGTCTGAGTGGATGCCATCAACATCTTTCCAACCAGCTAATTAGTGATTTCTTGGTAGATGTGGTTTTGATTTTTTCTGCGTTGATGTTATGTGGCGGTGCCGTATAGCAAGCTTGATAATTAGGAGGGGGAGGGGGGCTCATATTTATATATTCTTGTTCACAGACCACAAAAACAATCAATTTCAAAAGAAATTAATAACGCAGAACACGAATATATGAATATGAGCCCCCCACCAAATTATCGAGCTTGCTAAGGCACTGTGCATGTACTCAGGTGAATATGATGTTTGTGATGTTATTCCGAGTGTATATTTATCCACACCAGGCAAGCTTGAAACATTTGCCTGGCCAAGTTGGGAATCGAACCTACGACCTTTTAAATACTAGCCCAATGCTTTGCCAACTGAGCTATACGCGGTCAGGTCGGTTCGAGTATGTGATGTTTCGGAACTGAGTATGCAATGGTCTGCAATCGAGTAATCATAATTATTTTCTGTGTTGACATTATGTACTCGGGTGAATATGATGTCTGCGATGTTTCTCTGAGTGTATATCCACACCGGGCAAGCTTGAGAAATATGCCTGGCCACGAAAAAAAAAAATCTCGATCATTAGATTGCATTGATATCGAAGGAACTAGACTCAGTTCCGAAATATCACATATTCGAACCGACCTGACCGCGTAGCTCAGTTGGCAGAGCATCAGTGGCGGAAATTCACTTTTTTCGGGGGGGGGGGGGCAAAGCCTCCTAAATTTCCGACAAAACTTTCACATTTCCGACGTACCCCCCTATTTGCACTCGAAAAGACTGTTTTCGCCCTCTTTTTGGTCAAAATTTCCGAAAATTCGTCAATTTTTCGTGAAGGGGGGGGAGGGCGCCCCCTCCCACGCCCCACCAAGATTTCCGCCACTGCAGAGCATTGGGCTAGTATTCCAGTGATCGAACCTACGATTCCCACCGTGGCCAGGCATATTTTTCAAGCTTGCCCGGTGAGAATTATATATGCACTCAGAGTAACATTACAAACGTAAGACGTGGTTTTGTTCAGAAAATTGAGTAATTTGATATTATACGATCTCTCTTGACTTTCAAAAGCTATAAATTGGTACAATTTTGATATCAACTATCTGAAATCGTTAGCCGTAATGGCGGTATTTGTGTCTTCGTATAAACATGGATACACCGAACCGAACATATAAAGCTTCAAAGTCGGATGGCGCGCTATTGCTATTCAAACACAGGGCATAGTCGACAGAGATGTACCTTCTTGTTTGATATACCTTCTAGTAACCTCGGATCCTTTTCTTCCATCAGGTCCTTAGCGGTAACAGACTCGAACTTCATCCAAAAATTCCTGAATCAATTAAAGTGCTTATTCAGTTAACAATGGTGGACGCAGATCACAGACCATCATTTACCAGCCTCAGAGAGAACTTCCTGGCAATAAAATTCGAGGACGGTAAGTAATTTGCATAATTTGTGTGCAGAAGTTTTGATAAAACAGTAAGACTTATCTATTGATTCGAAGACTAGATGTTTTACTATTCAATGCTAGGTTATCGTTTATATATATGCACGATTGTTGGGGGGAAATGTTCATTCAGGCAGTGGAAATTTAATTACTTGCAATAAAAACACATCAGTTTATATGTTTTAACATTTCCAACCAATCTTAAAATATGCACTCTGTTGTTTTCATGCACAATGTATAGGACAAATTACATGTACGACATAAAAAGTACAATGGATATGTGTTTCTCTTCCTAAAGATTAAAAGACTTTCTTGTGCTATTGTTTAGACATCTATGCAAGTCCAGCCAACTTCGAATATTCCTATGTCAATTATAATGCATCTGACATCGTAAGTATTTAACGTATTATAATATATGAACCCTCACTTCAAAATGCATACTAGCCAATCAAGAACGCGATACCATTTTCTCACAATTGTCAACTGGCAACCTTTGATATAACTCTCTGGCAACCAATGGTAAAGCTACTTTATTCTCGGTTTATCACACAGTTATTTAACCCGTTTTCAATTTTTGAAGAATAGATGGAGCGCCTTTCAGTGTTTTTGACTTTATTATGCATAATTAAGTATTACAAAAAAAATATGCTAACAATTCACGGAAATGTTTCCGAACCGCAATAATATCTTTTCAATATTTTTAGGCTTTTGAATGGGTAATTTTCCTTTGTTGCTTTAACTAAAAATTTGTTGTTTATATATATTTTAGAGTCTTCGGCCAAACAAACCGAGAAGTAGTTGTAATGCGAACGGTTGTTTTGGTGAATGTCTAAATGCCCCAGACATTGCTATGAATGTTGGTGATGTAAGTGTAATTCATTCAAATGTTAAAAAGATAGCGCTGGCGCTCAATGGATCACTTTTTACGCCGGTCCACTCATGTTCACGTGCTATGCCTTATCCAAATTTGCCGTAATTCATTACCATGCATGCATGGAAGACACGTTGTCATTCTTACTTAGGAGCCTACTTATATTGAATTTTCTTTGGACTTCTCCGCGAACGTCCTTCTTCGTCAATGCCATAATTCCATAATAATTTGTACGACGTTTAAATTCCTGCCCCTCTTCAATCGCTCTAACGTCACATCAAATGCATTTCACAGAAAAAAAAAACTTAACTCTTTATTAATTGGGTTTTTGAACGTAAAAAACTCTTACTATTCGCCGAAGTGAAAGTGATTACCGATGAATATTTGCAGAGACGAAGTCGAGGTGAATATTCACCGCAATCAGGGAACATGCGGTGAATATATAGTTGTTTTAGTATACATTTTTTAACAATTAAAGCAAAATATCCAAATATCAGTTAATTTAAGTTACCATGTCATAGTCAGGAAATTGGTGTATTTTGATTATATAAGTTATTCTAAGAGTTTCTGTAATATATTTTAAAATTCGAAAATTTGATCTTCATGAACTTTTTGACGTTCAAATTTGGCGATTTTTCGTGTTACCGTAGGCAAAAAAGTACTGGGGCGAGAACGCCTTCTAGCGCTGGCTTGACGTCATATTGAGAACTCATTAATATGATTTACTATAGTTTCATGATACAATCGAGTTTAAATTAGATGTTTCTGGAAATATTTTTGATATTTCGCTTGAAAATTAAATGGAACTATGTCCTTAACTTTCGGTTATCCAACTGACAGGCAGATTGAGCGACAGACTAACTTTATGGCTGAGTGTGCAGGTTAAAAACGTATACGTTGATGCTAATCTATGTTGCTGCATTAACAGAAATATCGGGACAGAACGGCAAAGAACTGCAGGCTGTTGTTAAATCCAATCTAAGAGGATCTATTCCTTTTGCCAATACAGGTCAAATCGCAAATTATGGTGAGCGAAACACCTCGTCCAGGGTCAATAGAATTAATTAGGCGCCAGTTTCCTTTGAATTTGGGCGGGTCATATTCGCGTCAGAATGCACCATAAAAGATACAAATTTTATATGATTTAAAAAGAGAAAGTGCGAAGGCAAAGTGAATCTTTTTTTATTGTGATTGATTGGTATTCATGTAAATGATCTTTGAATACTTCGTGAATCAAGACTTGCCGACTTGCAAAATCGCCAAAACGCAAACAAAGCAAGCTGTCTAGATTTTGTGTTCATGAAATAATAAACAATTGCATTTTTTAAAATATGACACATCTTTATATCTGATTCAGGAATAAGAAAAATCACTTTCTTAATTATAGTAAAATGTAATCATCTCGAAAAATTATTCTTACTATTGTATTTTTTCTACATTTGACCTTGTCTGCTAGCAAAATGCCGAATGTAAACAAAGCAAGCCAAGGAGGCTATTGCATTTCATAATTCACCCATTTCTGGGCTATGAAACTTCACGGTTTTGATTCCTAAATCATAAAATACTAATCCGAATCTGAAGTTTACGGGTCTAGTTAGGGAGCAGTCATTATTAATGCCGGGGGGGGGGAAGATATTTCTAAACTCATTGTAAATTTTTCATGGACCCTCATTCTTTGAAAATATTTTTTCATGCCCCCCCCCCATTAAATATAATAAATTTTCATAGACCCACCCTTCCTTCTTCCCCTGTGATTGAACTTGCATTCCAAACATATATTAAGATCACAGGCGGCCCAATCTCACAAGCGACACCTTGGCCCACTGTGGTGCAATTAATGATTTTCGATGGCTAGGGGGAGCGGGAAATTAAAACAACAAGTCCAATAAGGCGGGGAAATTTGTCTTTATCTGGTATAAAAACCACATGGACGAATTCAATTGAACTAAATTTTGGCACAAGAATGAGTTTAATTAAAAAACATAGTATGAAAAAAGAGCCTGTAGAGAATACCTGGAAACAGTCCTAAGAAATAATCTCGACGAGATGCAGCGAAACGTGACTATGTAAGTCTGTATAAATACAATTTATAAATATTTTCTTAATAATTTCATATGTTATTTCAGTTTGAATCATTTGTCCTAGTTTAAATTATGTGCCTTTATGAGTTTATGATCATTTCGCAAGTTTGTTTATGCCAAATTGCTTACAAAAGAATTAAAAACTCCTGACAAAATGAAGTTGAATTTTATTGAATTTCATCATGCTATGCATAAAATAAATAATCATTCGGGCAAGTCGTGCAATTAATTGACAGCTTGTGCAATTTTGGCACATTTTTCAAATATGATTCGTAGTGGTAATATAATTAATTGCACTCCTTCCTGTGTGATTACATATACTTATATTGCATTGACATTTATATTACAGTGAACTATAATTGCTGATGTTTTATGATTATTGTACATTATTTTTGGTGCCCCCCCTACCTTTCTTTGATATTTTTGGTATCCCCCCCTAACTGGTTCATAAATTTTTTGTGGCCCTCCAAATATCTTCCGCCCTCCCCCTGGCATTAATAATGACTGCTCCCTTACATTTAAAATTCAATCGAAATACCGAATATATTTTCAGAAACATGCACGTTATACCAAATTTGTACAGGTAATCGCATGTGGCCGAGTAAAATTAAGGTTTAATTTCACGCGTGTTTTCAAAGTTTCACAACGGTGGTGCTGGTGGTTCCGGTGGTGGTCGTGGTGGTAGTAGTACTGGTAGCAGTACGTTGGGACGGTTGGGTCTTGATTACAATACGACTGGGTTTTGTATTCATTTATATAAACATGAGTAGCGACCGAAAACATGATTGATATACCTGGTTGCTGTGTTAACGGACACATTTTAAATATTGGTCATTGTATAAATTTCCCACATGGAAAATGAGTAAAAACCATGATGTGCGCTGGAAAATACCATTAAAACTTTCTTACCAATTGAACATAATGGGAAATCTGCATTATATAATAACTACAGTGAAACACGCAATTTGATTGGTCAACAGCCGTGCCGGATCAGACAATCCTGCACAGGAAATTCTGAACAGAAATTCTTGCACATAATTTTACAAATATACTCGCATTGTAAAGTTTCATTGTACCATA